CATTCCTTTCTGTGCTTTTTCTGCTTTGCGCCGAAATGCTTATCTATACAGATGTGCAGGAGGGAGTTGTATTGTCTGGGTTTTTCCTAGGTGCCGTAGGAGAGTGTTGGTTCTCAGCTTTAGCTACCTAACAGTCTCCAAGCTTTATCCCGCGCGCAGGAGGGTGCCTAATTGGCCAGTGCTGTGTGTGGGGGGGTGCATACGAATACCCTATATCCTATTATGCCCATGGGGCCGCCGCCATTCTTAACAGTGCTTATGTTACTGCATCTATAGCTCTGCAATAAAAATGTTACCATTCTTGAATGCGTGTACGTTGTTGGCTGTGGGTTCTGACAAAAGGTGTCCATTTCCCCCAGCTCACTCAAGGATGACAGCAACAATCTAATTCTTATAAAACAGTAAAATTTAGCTGCCATTTACTTCAAGGTATTTCTGTTCATTTTCTGTGACACGAATTTCAGATAGCACACACAAATCTATGCTTATTACAGGAAGTATTGATTTTATTTAAGAAAGGTGTTCATTATAAGTAGGTAAAAGCTTCTGAACATAAAAACAAAACGTTTTATTCAACTTTTTTTACAGTAACTGTTCAGACACTAAAATACACACAAATGCTTGAGCTTGTCAACGGAGTTCTAGATATTTTTGTTAATAATGAAGACATCACTGATTTCCCATTTGTTTCTTTGAAGCCTCCTCTGGCAATACTGCAGTGAGGAATGCTGTGAGCAAAGCCCTGATTTGACAATAAATAACCCAGAATTCTTACAAAGAAACTGTCTGCGTGGCTACAACTCAGAAGTTTGTTGGATAGGAAAACCTTGCACAGGGGACTGAAGAAAACAGCCCGGGAAGCTGGGAGGGTCACTTCTGGCCTCACCTGTAGGGTAAGGAAGCACTCCTGAAAGCGTTTCCAAGATTCTCCAGGACAAGATGGAACCAGGCTACATAATGGTCAGAAGCAGGGAGAATGTGTCTGTCTGTCCTCTGAATAGACCTTGCCTTCAAAAACCATAGCAAAGCCACCAATGAGAAAACAGGATGGATGAGACTTCATAGTCATTGTTGCTTTCTCTCTGGCCTAATTCTCACAATCAGGAGATAAGATGGCAACGCTACTTTGGGACTTTACTACCTCATATGACAGAAAGTTGCGCACCCCCAGAAATCTAAAGTATCAAGGAAAAGACTAGAACTCTTCTTCCTCACATGGCGTTTTCTAGTGGCAAAGATTCTTTTTTAATATGACCTAACATTCAACCATGCAATTTCCCACTCACTACTACCACATGTAATCTAACCCCCCTTTTCTTTTAGAACTATGCTCAACAATTGTGTGTATCACACAAAAGACAATGAAAACAGGGGTCACTCACTCTGAAGGACAGGGGGTATGCCAAAAAAGGGTGAAGATCACAGTTCTGAATATTATACACACACAGAAATACATACATACGTAAAAGAGAAAACTTATAAATGAAGGCATTTCTAAAGTTCCAGCCGAAAACTAGATATGCCTTTTCATTTTTTTAATGATATAAACAGAAACGTTTCTTCATCAAGGTGGCTGCATGTTTACTCAAAAGAGGGTGTTTCCAAGTAACTGGGCTTATAATTGTGGTCTAAGTGAAGATTTGTTCAAATACCCATTGCACATATTAAAGGTACATTTTCAGTCTGCTCAGGAAAATTCAAATGTGTCTCTCTCTTGATCATTCCATTATTTCAACAAGATCCATTGCTTTATCCAGGTTCCTCCTCGCGTCTGTTCCAACTGATCTGCAATGAGAGCCAAGGTCCCCCACATTTTTCTAATACTGATACTTGTCAAGGCTTACCTAGGAAGACCACATTCTGCACCCCCCACAAAACCTGCTGACAAGTTTTATGAAGAACAAATCCTGTAAATAATGTAGCTGGATCATTCACTGTGGTACGAACCTACTCCTATAACAGAGTCACAGTAGAAATGGCACAACAAATGACTATAAGGAAATACCTTATTTTAATTCCTGTCAGAGATGGCTACTTTGTGACAATGCCTTTTAACAACCCTGTACCACTAGGACTTTGCATATGATAAACAACTTCAGTGTTTTAATGTTGTATCTTGCTTCAATACTTACTTCTACTGTTACCTCAGATGCTCTTTTCCTCTGCTGGGAATTTCAGTTCTTTGGCAGGGGATATTCTGTTTTGGGCCTATAAAACAGTTGCCAGAAATTGGCCTTTGAGGTACATGTCCTGTTTAAACAGTGCTATGGAACCTGTATGTGTGGCTAAAATATGTCCCTATCGGACCCCTATTAGGCCAAGAACAGGCCTTGCCTCAGGGATGGCATTGCCCACCCTCAGAAAACTGCTCAAGTCTCATAGTGGCAGGTAGACCAACCAAGGCCCCATGGAAGTGGGCAAGCAACTGCACATGGCAATGAGGCCAAGGAACATTGTGCTTTTGCTCACTCAGAGCAGTGGCAGATCTAGGAACTCTCCCCTACCCGACAGCATTTTGCCAAGGGCTTGCCGAACCTTAAAATGAGACCTGGACAAGAATCTAAGAGTTAAGGGGGCGTCAAATAGGTCTGCATCACCAGCACAGGAATGGGGAGGGAGACCCTGTTAAATAAATATAGCTATGGCGTAAACAACCCATTTTAATTCCCTGCATCTTTTGAAAGGCAAAGAAAATGCTTCCTGGACAAGTGTGCAGGTTGTTTTAACATTTGGTATCTATGGTAAGTTACCGGGGGTGGGGTGGGGGCTTTCTTTACAAAGAATAAAAACGGGGCTTGAAATATGTTCAACCTTTATCTTTTTTAAAAGAGCAAGAGTCCAGTAGCACCTTAAACACTAACAAAATACGTGAGTCACTGTTCACGAAAGCTCATACCTTGCCACATAAATTGTTAGTCTTTAAGGTGCTACCAGACTCTTGCATGTTTCAACTGCTATGGACAGACTGACACAGCTAACCATCTTGATCTGTCTTTTTTAAAAGTTTGTTTACAGGCATTGGTTTCTTTTGCAGTTTTGTATCCTCATTCTTGGACTGACATCCCACTCTTGGTCAATATGTCATTTCCTGGATCCATCCAGCATATGCATATTCCAAAGAAACTGTGAATTCAGATTCACTATTTCCACATCACACTAGATCTATCGGGTTTAACAATAGGTTCCAATACTTTTCTCCCTGGAGAGATGGTGCTTGAGAGGAATTAAGGGATGTGCCCGCCTTTATCAGCTAGGTAGATGGGGTTACTTCACTTTTCTCATCATTTTCCTCTTTTGCTATCCAGCACCCATGTCTCCATAGCAAGTCTCAAATACTATATTGGCAGTAAGAATGGTACAGTGATTAGAGACCATGACTGAGGGCCAAACTAGATGCTCCATAGATGCACCACTATTTTGAAGCAGTGAACTTCTTTTAATAGCACCATGGGGGTCCAATTCTGGCTGGAACCCCTATGGGAGAAGTGCACCAGCCTTCCTCCATGATGTGTTCTGTACCAAAGCAACGGGGGGGGGTGGTGTCAGCAAATAATGCCCTCTGATGCCACTTCAGGCTAAAGAAATGGTACAGGGGTGTCATGCCAGAGATACTGACTTGCAGAATCATCTCTGATAGAAGGCATGTAAGTGTAGTCAGAATCAGTACGTTCTATAATCTAAGTAAATGGGAACCAGCTGGGTTAAGCAATCCCTAATTAGTCTAGGACGGGGATTGGGGAATTAAAGAATAAAGATTCAGTCCTAGAGGCAGAATTATTCATGATGGAGGAATGAATGAAAACTCATGAACTTGCCTGAATACACACGTCTACGTGTTCCGAGCGAGCAAGGAGACTGAAGGCGACAGCTTGACGAATGCCAGGAATGCTGCACGTGGCCTTGAAGAAGCCAAGAGCCGCTGCTCACCGTGAGGTATAGTCCGGGTGCAGGGGCTGCTTAGAAGACCACAAGTGTCTGCAAGCAAGCAAGCTTTGGCTGTGCTAAGGAACCAGAGGAAGCCTCCAGGACAGTTGGCAAGCCCTGGGAAGTACGGCTCAAGCTGTGAGCAAACCCTAAAGCAAGTAGCCGAGCCAAAACGGAGGAGTTTTGTTTAGAGTAGCTAGCATAGTTAGGGTTAGGTTTTGTCTATTGTCTATTTTGTTTTGTAAACTCCCCCTATTTGTTTTAATCACTCCAAATAAACCTTTATGTTTTATGAGCTGGGAGTCTGAATGAATCTCTGGGCAGTAGAGACTGTTCATGTGCCCTCCTCGTCTCTCCTAAGCTGAGCCCGTTAGCCTGGGGAAACAAAGGGGACTCAGGATATGGGAGCACGCTACCTGATTAACGTTGAGTCCCCAGCATAAACTGAGGTCCCGAGTCGGGGGGGCCTACATTGCTCAGAAATATAGAGAGCAAGTTTATGATAAGGGGGAAGGCACAAGCCCCTTCTCCCCCTGTACACTGATCCTGACCAGAATTGGGCCCCTGCAGCACTGTTAAAAGAAACTCCCCAGTGGGTGCTCACGGTTTCAAAACAGTATTGCATCTCCAAGGACACAGACTCTTCTAGTTTGGCCCACAGGTGACCTGGATTCCAATTCCTTTGCAGCCAGACAGCTCACTGGAAGATCTTGGCTCAGCCACTCTCCCAGTCTACTCTACCCTGAAGGGTTGTTGTGAGATTAAGGGGGAGCATGAACAATGCATGCTTCCCTGAGCTAAACTAAAAGGTTGATATAGAATCAGAACTATTATTCCACCGGCAACAAGAACATCCTTTTTCTGCTTTAAGACAATGGGTGCTTTGAGGCTGCACAGGTAAAGATATTGTTTGTGAGGTAGTTAATTACCTTTCCTTTTATGAAGCTCTCAAGTTTCTCCCAATATTCATCCATAGCACCTGATGAAGTGGGCTGTAGTCCACAAAAAATTATACTGGAATAAAACTTTGTTAAATCTTTTAAGGTGTCACAAAATGCCTGTTTATTTTTGCCACAAATTACTAACCTGGCTACCTCTCTGGAACATGCAAATGTTTCTGTCCTGACACATCCTAGGCTGAGTCTTGAAGCACTATGTATAGTCAGTCAGGGACTGTCCCACTGCACCATCGGAAAACAAGACTTAAAAAATCTGATTAGACTGATCCACTTTGGGGACCTCTGATGAGTTCTCTTTGAAATGTCCCTCCTTGTGTTTGTTGAGGGCTGCCTTTGTTTTGTAATCTTTGCCGCATTGAGTACATTTAAATGGTTTCTCTCCTGTGTGGGTTCTCAGGTGATTCTTAAGAATGCTGCTGGTGGTGACTCTTTTGCCACAAAAAGGACAGCTAAAAGGTTTCTTGTGGACATTCTGGTGTTTATCAAGGCTTGACTTGGACTTGAAATATTTCCCACATTCGGTGCACGGATAGGGACGGAGGTCTGTATGAGTTAGCTGATGCCTGATGAGGTTTTTGGTTTCGCGGAATCTCTTCCCACACTTCTGGCATTGATACGGCCTCTCCGATGTGTGGGTTCTCTCATGTCTTTTGAGGGAATATCTGTCTCTGCAAGATTTCCCACAGTGAGAACATACATACTGTCGTTTGCCCATTGTGACACCTTGGAGGCCAGAGCGGGTTGAGCTGCCCTTGCAGGGTTGGTCACTGTTTAATCCCGGAATGGAATTGACTCCAACGTGGATGTTCTGATGTTTAGTAAGGGTCAAACTAGCTGTGAAGCCTTCCCTCTTCTCAGACAATTTTGGGAGGCTATCTCCCGTACAGGCTCCCTGTTGCCTAGGGGAGACCAAACTGTAAGTCCCTTCATGGACATTTCCTTCTGCATGGCTACCTTGTTCTTTAGTGACCACTGAGTGACCCCTGGGGGTTTCAGCACCATCTAAACCTTTCATGGAATGTTCTTTTAATTGGGTGTTCTGTTGCTTAGTGAGAATGTCACTGTCAACTCTCTTGGAGAATTCAGAAGGAGATTCTTTCACGTCTAATCCTTTAGAGGGATTTTCTTCCCTGTGGACGCTCTGGCCTTTAGCAGGCAGGGAGCCACCCACACCCTTGGAACATTGAGCAGGGGTTTCTTCCCCATGGTGCCCAGAGAGAGTTGAACTCTCGGACCAGTTATTGGAGTTTTCATCTGTGTCGCTAGCCTGGTCTTTTGCCAGGGCCGAGGCATCAATTAGACCTTTCCTGCTGCTGGAAGAACGCCTTAGACTTCCATTCAAATGTCCATCCTGATGTCTACAGAAGGAATATTTGGTTCCAAAGGCTTTCCCACAAACAGAGCACTGGTAGGATCTCGTCTCCATGTGGATGCGCTTGTGTCGGCTGAGGGAATGTTTGGTCCTGAAGACTTTATAGCAGAAAAGGCATTTCTGGGCCTGTCCTTCCATATGGGTTTCCTGGTGTTGAGTGAGAGAATACCTGTAGGCGAAGGCTTTCCCACAGACACCACACTGATAGGGCCTGCCCATCACGTGCAGTTGCAGATGCCTCGAGAGGGATGTTTTGGTGGTGAACCCTTTCCCACAGTAAGAACAGTTATGCAGACAGGTTTTTCCTTCTGTGTGGGTTGCTTCATGATGGAGTAGAGTATATCTGTAGGTGAAGGTTTTCCCACAGATGGTGCATTTATAGGGTCTGCTGTCTGCATGGATGCGCTGATGCCTGTTGAGATTATATTGGCTTGCATAGGTTTTCCCGCAGCTACAGCACTGATAGGGATTTTCTTTCATCTGCCCTTCCTGTTGGCCAGCATGGGGTAGCTTTCTTTCCTCAACCGTTTCCGGACCATCAGCACTGCCAGATGTTTCTTCTTTAATGTGCATGCTCCGATGATTAGCAAAACATTGACTGTCCCTGAAGAACTTCCCACAGTCAGGACATGTGTGGAGAGTTTCTTCCATTTCAACCTTTGGCTGGGTTAAACCGGCCCCAAGGGGTTTTCTACCAGCAGACTCTGCACTGCACTGCATTTCTACGTGGCTTTCATTTTTTTGTGTTCCTCCCTTCAAGTTGTCCCCTTTGTCAGGCTGTTGACATTGTTGCTCCTTCATGTGGGTTCTCTGATGATTCACAAAACATTGTTCGGTCTTAAAACACTCTCCACAATCAGGGCATGTGTGGACATATTCTTCTGTGTCACTGCCCTCCTGGTCCAAGTATTTGTGAAGTTTCTGGGTTTTGTGGATGCGCGAATGATTGGCCAGTCTTCTGCTATCTGCAAAAGTCATCTCACAATCTGGGCACTTATAAGGACCTTTCTTTGCGTGCAGCGTCTGATGTCTGATTAGGGACAATTTCTCCTGATAGCATTTCCCACAGTCCAGACACTGATGGAAACTTTCTCCCCCATGGATCATTGCCCGGTGCATAGTGAGATCTCCCTCTCTTAGAAAGGCTTTTCCACAGTCAGGGCAATTGGAGAGATGGGCTCCTGAGTGGGCTGTCATCAGATGTTTGATGAGATTGTCACATGCAGGACACTGGTATGTTGCTTCACCAGAGTGACTCCTCTGATGCTGGGTGAAAGAGGTGCTCGTCATGAAGCTTTCCCCACACTCAGGGCATTCATAGGGTTCCCTCCCCAAACGGGAAGTTCTCATGTGTCTCCTGGCACGTGTTCCACGGTTTGATTTTTCTAGGAAGGTTTTCCTACGGGGGGGCCATTCGTAGGGTTTTGCTGTATCATGGATTGTTGCTAAATGCCTCTTAAGCGATGATTTCCTATTGAAGCTGTTCCCACACTGAGGGCACACAAACAGATCCTTCCCTGGATCTGCACCCCGTTTCCCCTTTCTGCTCTTAACGAGTCCTCGGTCTTTTTCTCTGGTCCAACAGAGCGGCATCCTCATACTGCCCTGCGGCTGTCCCAGCCGCTCGCTCTGCCAAGGCTCACAGCCTTCTTGCTTCACCTCACATCTACCCAGCAAAGCCGCCCGGGGCTTGGTTATCCTGAGACATTCCTGTTTAACATTCTTCTCCTCTTCTTTCTCACTCGAGGATTCATTATCTGCCGGCATAAGGACAGAAAGAAATCAGTCTCCCTGAGCAGGCTTGGAAAGGGTGCAGAAGACCTCAATAAAGGGCTCAGCCACAAAAATGGACAGCATATGAGCACTGGCCACCTCACACCACAGGTTCCGCCCCACCCCAAGCCCATGCCTGAATAAAAACCTTAACTTTTCCATTCACTATGTGTACAAATGTTTCAGCTTCACCCAGCTTTTACAGGTGATAACTTATTCACTCATACTTTTTATGTTCTCTGTACTATCCCATTGAGTCCGCTTAAAGTATCCCATGTTATATTTTTGTCAGTAGACCTTTACATTAAGCCTACCCTGCCTATCTATCAACAGTTGACAGAGGCTTTCAGCCACTCTGAACTGAGCAATTGCTTTTTGATTGGTTCCTGTTTTACACTGCTCTTGCCTTGTAACATCCCCCTACCACCCGCTTTTACTGTCAACGGAACTCAAGAGTATAAATTCGTTTTCAACAGAGACTCCATATGCATCTGATGAAGTGAACTCTGGGTCACAAAAACCTGTATTGGAATAAATGTTGTTCATCTCCAAGGTGCTGCTGTTTAACCCCGGGCAAGCAGCTGCCATACAGATGCACTGCACGTGTGCGTTAACTAGGGTAGCCAATTGCACAGAGAAAAAAATGCCCTGGATATTTAATAGTGGCTTAATGGGATGTTATTTACCTCCATACCGTGAAAAGCTTCAACCACCCACTTCCACACATAAAGCATCTTTTACAGGGATAGGCTATTTTTCTGAAGGCCTCTTGACAACTCCCCTAATTCACTGCACATCACTTCCCCCACACACACACCTCATCATGACCTGGGAAGATGTTCTGTAGGGCCCTGAAGACACAATTGTGCAGGAAGCTACCAGCAAATGCATCTCCTACAAGGATGTCAGTCCTCCTGACCTGAACTGGATGAATCCGAACTGGGCACACTGATGGGGCTCCGGTAGGAATTCCACCACGTCCCTGGCTCTGACCATCCAGTCTGCTGCAGTTTAACTGGATTTTCCTCGGTGTCTTCATTAGAATTCTGGACTTCTGGGGTCCAGGCCTCTTGGCCTTGCTCGAGACGGGCCAGCAGTTCAGATTTTTGGAGTGGAAATCCTGGTTGGAGTTGAAGGGGAGGGGCTGAAAGGGAAGGGGGAAAAGTGAACGAGTAATTAATCCACTCCTCTGTGTAAAAAAAAGAAGAAAAAAAATTAAATAAAATAGGAAGCAGTTCTACCAGCCAGTCAGTATTCTCTTTTCCCTCCTTCGTGAAGGAAACTGTGCAAGTAGTCACCCACTATATCCAGGCACCCCTAAATACTAGGATCTCCCCCCTTCAAAACAGCATACAATTTGTTAAAACTAACATACTATTAAAACCCCAGCCAGAGCATTAAAAAGCAACTTGAAATATATTGCAGCTTTAAATGATTCTTACAGAATGGCCCTGTGAGGCAAAGCACCTTTGGCCTCCTCTTAAAGGGTTAAGATGAACAGTAACTGGCCTGCTCTATTCTGCAGGCGTTGTTAATTGGTCCCATGGCCTACACAGTTCTTATCATCTCCAAGGCCACAGCAAATTAGCTTCTCATGAGAACCTCCCTGTCTGCATGATAGGAAGGGAAGGACTGGGGGTGATGAGGTAATTTTCTAGAGGCTTCTTCTGAGAGCATGTTCTGATTGGATGCCATCCTCACCTGATACTGCTGGGCCAAAAACTATAACTAAGCTAAGGCCCTGGTGAAAAAAGCTAGCTGAGATTCTGATGGACTAACGGTCTCAACTATGACCTGCTTGAATTGCAATTGCTAGCAGCGTAGAGAATGCTGGAGCTTTGGCCTTTGACTCCTGAAATTAAGGACTGTGCCATCTAATGCCAGTCCTAAAAGTGTTAGGCAGTTAAGCTAGCCTTGTTTTCTTGCTGAATGATTTTAGAGTAATGTGTTGCCTATAGAATAAATTCTTGTATTGAAAGGAACTGAAATAAACTTTATAAAACTTATTTTACAAACTAAACAGTGGTCTGGTTACTTGTCTACAATTGCCCTGGGGACCCACAGGGTTCAGGCCTTGGGCTCTGTCATGATCTGGGCTGTGCCACCAGAGGCCTACTAGGCCCAGGGAGCCTGGCTAGCAGTAGGTGAGGCTGGGCCTACAACTCCCAGAACCCCCGAGAGGTTTTGGAGCCAAAATTGACCAATAGGAAAAGAGGAGGGCTTGGAATAAAAGATCTGGTGCAGCAGGAAAAGCTGTTCTTCTTCCCAGGGAACAGGGCCAGGAGAGGCTGCTGTGGAGAAGTGACCCTCATCCTGAGGGAAGGGTGAGCAGTCTAGCGCCACTTGGAATAGTGAGCTAAGGACAGTATATATTTAGACACGTTAGGGCATTTGATTTCTTTTCACCCACTTACTGTTATTATTCTACACCTTGTTTGTTTGACCTCTAACAAAATAAACTATTTTCATTGTTCACTCTGCCTGGTCCTCACACCTATTATTCAGCCAAACGGGAGGTCAAAAGGTCTTGGGAGGGTGCTCTGGGCCTTCTCAAGGGATCCTAAATCCAGAGTGGTGGCAGCATCAGGTGATACCCCACCTGAGCCGTGACAGGCTCTTTGACAGGCCCTCAGGAGAGGAGCACACCATGAACACAGTTTAAAGAGATCATCTAACTCAGATTCTGAACTCTGTGATTTGGTTATGCCTATTAAGCAAATTTGCACTGAAGCATCAACATGTAACTGATTATACCGAGCTATTAAAATCTTTTGATCTATTTAAAAGGTAGCCGTAACTAAACTAGCATATGATTTTTAAAAGATTAACTATTTTTAATAGAAAATGCTAGAAAAGCCATCTTAGAAGTAGTATTCACTAAAAGCTAGTCTTGTGTAAGTTTGCTGAGGTCAGCACATAGCAGCTTTGTGAGAGGGAAATAAAGTATATAAAGATTTTAACAAAAATTAAACAGTTTTTGCAGTATTGCGAGGACAGCCAGTTTGGTGTAGTAACTGGACTAGGATCCAGCAGACCCAAGTTCAAATACCCCCTCTGCCACAGAACTCTGTGACACGGAGGCAGGCAATGACAAACCACCTCTGAACATCTCTCGCCTTGAAAACCCTGCAGAGTTGCCGTAAGTCAGCCGTGACTTGACGGCACTTCCCCCCACTGCCACCTCAGTGCTGCAGCCCTAATCCAAATAAAGGGCAAATAGCTGCTTTTTAATTCTAAAAAAACACATCTGGAGGGCCAATCATAAATGCCTGTCCCCAGTGGTGGGCCAAGTTTATTGCAAGTGACTTGCTCCATTAGTTTCACTCAGATGGAATCGCAACTAATGAATCTGACGGGGAGCATCTAGGGCAGTGGTGGCGAACCTATGGCACGGGTGCCAGAGGTGGCACTCAGAGCCCTCTCTTTGGCCCCGCGTGCCATCGCCCCAGCCAGGCCCAGACCATCATTAAAGTGTCGAATTCTCTGCCAAATAATTTTAAGTAAATGAAAGCATTTGGGATTGCTTTCCTTACTTTGTTTGGATCATCTTAAATTAATGTATGGGTTGTTTTTTCTAAAGTAAAACCTCAGTATTCACGTTAAACTGCCGTGTTGGCACTTTGCGATAAATAAGTGGGTTTTGGGTCGCAGTTTGGGCACTCGGTCTCTAAAAGGTTCGCCATCACTGATCTAGGGTCCTCAACAACCTGAGCTTCATCTGTTGTGATGCCTACCTGGTGGAACAGCCTGTCAGGAAGCCCCCTCACACACACACTTTTATCATGCCATAGAACACGTAAAACAACTGATCAGGAGGGAACTTGAACGAAGGAACAGGATTGCAGTAAAATGGAATTGTTCAGGACTGTATAGTTTGAGTCCAGTGGCACCTTTAAGAACAGCAAAGTTTAATTTGGGGTATAAACTTTCACACATGAAAGTGTATACCCAAAATTAAACTTTGATGGTCCTAAAGATGCCACAGTACTCAAACTTTGTTCATTCTGTAACACAGTTTTACTGCATTGTTTGATGTACTGCACTACTTTCTTGCATTTTTTAAAACTGTAATTTGCCTTGCGCCTTGGCGAGAAAGGTGGACTAGCAATGAAGTAGACAAACGCTTGTGAGACCAGCAAAATTGCCACAGGGAGAGCCTCTCTTGACATGAGAAAGTTTCAGTTGTTCGTTACAAAGCCCTGTCAAGAAAACACAACTGCTCTCCACCATTCTCCTGTTGCATGAGTGCCACTTATGGGGTTGCCAGCTTCTGGACTGGCCCCTCTATAGTTGTCCCTTTAATATCAGCTGATCTGCAGCAAATACCAAGTGATGTGAGTTAATTCCATCCCAGAAAGAGCTTCAGCAGCTCATTTCCACACATTAGACCTCTGTTAAAAGGGACAGGAGACTTTTCTCCAAGTGTGTTAGCAACTCTGGTCCCACACGGCCTGTGCCGCAGATCAAATAAATACTGGATAGGGCTGCCAAGCCGCGGCAGGGGATCCATACGTCTTCACAGGATCCCTGCCGCGGGGGACAGCGATACGCGTTGCACCGCCATCGCCAGGATGTGACGCTACGTGTCGCTCTGGCAACGGGGCTGTTTGGAGTCCCGTTGCCAGAGCGACGCGTAGCGTCACATCCTGGCGACGGCGGTGCAACACGTACACGTATCGCTGTCCCCCGCGGCAGGGATCCTGTGAAGACGCACAGATCCCCCGCCGCGGCTTGGCAGCCCTAATACTGGAAGCTACTGCTAGACTACAATTTGGAACACATGAAGGCAGCTTTGTGTGTTCCCAACCAGCCTGGAAACAACTGTTAGCAAAACACATAGGCTGTAATCTTAATTGGGCACAGTCGTGGCAGACAGTTATGTTCCGCCTGGACTTTTAAATTGTTCCTTTGCTGTTGTTTGGGCAATTTCAAGGTTGTGTGATGTTTCTGATTTTTAAAAGGCTGCAGGGTACTTCTTTGGGCAGGATCTAAGACTGTATCCTGCTTTTGCCCTACAGTTTGGTGAAGTGGTTAGGAGCGTGGACTCTAATCTGGGAGAACTGGGTTTGATTCCCCACTCCTCCACATGCAGCTGCTGGCATGACCTTGGATCAGTCACAAATTCTTTCAAAGCTGTTCTCTCAATGACAGTTCTCAAGAGAGCTCTCTCAGCCCCACCTGCCTCGCAGGGTGTCTGCTGTGGGGAGGGGGAGGGGAAAGGGATTGTAAGCCGCTCTGAGATTCCTTCAGGTAGTGAAGGGCGGGGTATAAATCCAATTTCTTCTTCTACAGAAATACATGGGATCTGTTCTTACAATTCTTAAATCTGAATATCAACTTGGACAGGACTTGTGCCATTTTAAAATTTGTAATGCTGACCCTAACTGAAGCCAGGTCTGACCACTGGTCCATCTACTCCTGTGTTGTCTGATCTGATTAGCAATGGCTCTTGGACATCTCAATTAGGGATAATTCCCCGCTCCAGGACATGCAAGGGCATTTGTACACGTATGCAATGTATGCACCACAGTCCGTCCGTCTCCCCCCCCCCTTCTGAAAAGTATACACCTCTGGCATTCTGTTGCAATAGTGGTAAAACTAGTGATCTCGCATCCTGTTGCAATAGTGGTAAAACTAGTGATCTTCCAAACGACAAGCAACATCTTTGCCGGAGCAACAAAGCACTCACCTAGCACAAAGCCAGCATGGTATAGTGGTCAGAGTGTTGGGGTAGAACTGGAGAGACTTGTGTTCAAATCCCCATTCACTATAAACTCACTGAGTTACCACAGACTTTAGTCACCCACTCTCTGCCTAACCTGCCCCACAGGATTGTTGCGAGGATAGACAGAAGCCTGTGTGATGTCCATGAACTCCTTAGCGGCTGAGCGAACCAGAAATCAAATTTTCAGCTGTACTTCTTTCTCTCATACATGGAAATAACATTATTGTTACAGAACAGTGCAGGAGGCCATCAAGAGGCATTGCTTATTTATATAATGATATCCTGGCACACAGGACTTTATTTACTGCAACATTTACCTCCTGGCTTCCAGCTCGACAGTCCACAAAGCAACAAACTACAAGGCCACTGGAAAACCACACATTCAAACTACAAAAACAGACACCAAGGAATTCTTGAGAGTTCCCTCTTATCAGTAGGATTTGCCTACCAAGGACAAAACAAGAACACCCTGACACTGAAGAGTTGGATTTTTATACCCCACCCTTCACTCACGAGTAGCTTACAATCTCCTTCTTTCCCTCCCCACAACAGGCATCTTGTGAGGTAGGTGGGGTTGAGAGAGCTCTGAAAGAACTTGTAACTGACCCAAGGTCACCCAGCTGGCTGCATATGGAGTGGGGAATCAAACCCGGTTCTCCAGATTATAGTCCACCGCTCTTAACCAGTACACCAAGCTTGCTCTCACCAAACTGGAGGATCCCTAAAGCTGAGCCTGATCATTTCTGAAGAGTATTAATGCGACCATTTCTTACATTTGAGAAGTAGACAAGAGTGCTATTGCTACCTGTGTGGGTGGGTCAGCACGGCAATGGTATGTTCAATGTCTCCCAGCCACTGTCTGCAGTGCCTAGCTAGGTATGACAGTGGTGCAAAGATGTAATCTAAAGATCTAATGTACATAATGGCCTCATACACACTAGGGCAGCTTTAAGGAGCCCCTCCCTCATGGAAGTTTAAAAAAACAGCATCCACCCCACTGCTGTAATCCAGGAAGCAGCCTTAAGGGCCTCATCATGTCCTTGCAAAGGTCTCTCTGACCTAGCAATGACCTAGCGGTGGCACAGAAAATTGATCCTCTGGTCAACATCTGAACTGAACGGAGTTGCTGTCAGTTCTAGCCCACGCTGGTGTGAGCTACCAGCCTTGTCCCCAGCTCACCGTCCACCCAGCGGTTCGAAAGCTTCGGCAAGTAGATAAAATGGGTACCACTCCTTAGAGAAGGTGGGCACACTAAACCCCCGTAGCGGAGGTGTTAGCCACGAATGGAATGTCCAGCTCATAAGCCTGGAAAAAAGACCTATTCGACATTAAGAAGCCTGTAATGGGCCAATCCGGCCAGGCGGTGGCAGTGCGGCACGACGACTCAAAAAGCAGCCCAGAAAGAACCAACATCATCAGGCCAAGCCGAAGTGCATGCTGTCCAGAACATGTCTGAAGCTTTCAGCTGAACAGAAATCCCCATCAGCTGCTAATGTGTGCGATTTAAAGAATTATATGTTGTCCTCCCTTACCCCTTGTGTGAAACCTGTGTAACTGTAAATCGCTCAGAGCCAGCAGCTCTGCTGGATTGAGCGATCAATAAATCGAAAGGTAAAAAAATTGTTAAAGCCAGATGTTCCCAGGCAACCAGAGGCAGAGCATGACTAAGGCTGGCACGCCAACTAACCTACTACACAAGTATTATCAACAATTGCCTATTATTTGACTGCTACCAAATATCTCATTAAAGCCAAGAATGCTGCTGTGTAGGTGGTTAAGTTCCCTTTATTTTTTTATTTCACTTTGGTATCAGAAAGGGCAGGGCTGCTGGTCCCTCAGCTGTAACTGCAGGCAACTCTGAACAGGAAGCAGTGGTGAAGGGCACTTCCCTGGGACTACTCAGGAGGACTCCATCTTGTTCACAGCAGGAGGGAGGGAATACCCCTTACCTACGATCTGGCTCTCTACTATGAAAGATCCTGTGAGGGACTCGATAAACATTTTGTTTTTAAATAGTAGCCGTTACCTTCCTTTCCCCCCTGTTTTAATTACATTTTTCATTTGTGGTACGCACAGCGACTTGCCTCCTAGCCCTGCATCAGTCAGGAACAAAACATAGCAGCATTTTTTTACATTACAAAAGGATGGCGGTTTAGACTGACCCTTAGGTTCCAAGACACAAGCCAAAGAAGTTGCTCAGTGAATCATTCTCATATAGCCAATGTTATATTATTGAGGCATCTTAAAGGCTAACAAAAATTTCTGCCATAATAAATTTGTTACTTTTTGAGGCACAAGAATATTTGGTTCTTTCGGTAGCAGCAGACTGACATGGAATTTGTCCTTAGCGAACACTGTCACAATAATGTGCTTTATAATTAACATAAATATCAAGAGTTGCTGATGACTGCAGTATCTTTTCTGTTATTAACACTTGACCAGTATCTGACAATATCTGACTGGTCAATTAACCAGTATCTTATTGTTGTCTTTTTTGACTGCTCAAATGCTCAACTCAGGACATCATGATGACAGTCAAGCCCAGGTCACCCACCAGAAATATACTCAGTCACCAGAAATATACTGTTTCAGAATATTGAGGTTCCATTTCTAGTTCCGTTGGTAACCACTGATACACCTACCCAACGTGTAGGATTGCCAACTGATTAACAAGCACCCCCCCTCCATTAGGCCCGGTGCCTGATGCACAAAAAAACAGAAGGTGAAGCTTTTATTGGCACAGGGATCAATGTTATCAGCAGCCACTGTCTGCACATTGAGAAGAAGAGAAGAGATTGGATTTATACCCCACCCTTCACTCAGAGTGCTTTACAATCCCTTTCCCTTCCCATCCCCACAACAGACACCCGGTGAGGTATGTGGAGCTGAGAGAGCTTTGAGAGAACTGACAGAACTATGGCTAGACCAAGGTCATCCAGCAGCTGCAAGTGGAGGAGTGGGGAATCAAACCCGGTTCTCCCAGATTAGAGTCCGCCCACTTAACCACTACACCAAACTGGCTCTCAAGGTTACAGCTACAGGGGCCAGTTGAAAAGCTGGCAAGCCAAACCATCTGACTAGCCGATCACTATGTTTTAAACAAGTGAGAAGATCTTTGACTATGTAGCATTTTATATCCAGTGTGGTCAAGGGTATAAGGATACTGAGTATGAATCTCAGTTAAAAGCCCTTCTTTTCTATAAACTCACTGGGAGAGCTGCTGTTGCTAGTCTCCTATCTCATTCTTCTGTTTTTAGTAGTTGTTTTTTAAAGCAAACACAGACCTATCCTAAAAGGAGCTTGTAAAGACAAGTAAGATAAAGTTTTTAACTACCTTCACTATATGTTCTGCAGAAGCCAGCTTGGGCACTTGCTGCAAAATTGAAAGCATTTCCCCACCACAAATACAGACACGGTATTCTGATGCTTCCCAATCACAAAGGTGTAATAAATAATCCTTAGCATTTGTGTAATGAAATACTCAGGTATTCAAAGCCTTGATGTAATCCTTACAAGAACACTGTAAAGTAGGGCAGGATTATCATCCCGATTGCAGACACCAATGTAAAGCCACCTAATGTAAAGCCACCTAGAGAACCACCTCTGACTCAGACCCAGGTTCTCCTGATCTATAGGCCAGTCTCTTAGCCATGACACCATATCAGATACAGAACTCTGGGAACTGTAGTTCTGCTTAAGCGCTAAGGCTGCCTCACATAGGGCACATCTACCTTATAAATTTACATTTGTTTAATACTGCTTTGTCATGAAATCCCCCAAAGGATCCTGGGAGCTTTACTGGCTGAAGATATTTACAACTCCCTTTTAGCATAAGAACATAAGAGACGCCAATGTTGGATCAGGCCAAAGGCCCATCCAGCCCAACACTCTGTGTCACACAGTGGCCAGAAATACCAGGTGCCATCAGGAGGTCCACCAGTGGGGCCAGGACATTAGAAGCCCTCCCACTGTTGACCAGGGGGGATGACAGAGCATCACTTGCCCCAGAGTCCCTATCTATACCTTGTGGCTAATAGCCACTGATGGACCTCTGCTCCATATGCTTATCTAATTCCCTTTTGAAGCCGTCCATGCTTGCAGCTGCCACCACTTCCTGTCAGACCCCATCAATGTGTATTTATATTTAGGATTTTTGGCTCCAATGTGCATCAACTTGCACTTGGCCACATTGAATCCCATTTGCCATGTTGACGCCCACTTGCCCATCCTTGACAGATTCCTTTGGAGTGCCTCACAATCCTTTTAAAGCTCCCATGGAGACAGGAATGGCTATTAAACCAGATTCAGCCTGTGGTGCAGATCTGAACTGCCAACTGCCTGGAGAAAAAATGTCCTACCCCTTTATTAGAGGCTTAATGGGGTGGTATTTACCTCCGTGCCATGAAAAGCTTCAGCTGCCCAGGGTGCCCACCTTCTGAAAATAGGCAAGTGGCAACTTGGAAGAGGGCCTTTCTAAGTTGTGCCATCAAACCTCTGGAACTCTCCCTCCAGGGAAATTCATCTGTTCCCTTCTGATGCCATCTTCTGCCAGTGGGTGAAGACTTTTGTTTCATTTGGCTTTCCTTCAGTGATCCTTCCTTTCTGTTCAATGTTTTTAATTGTTGTTTTTAATGGTTTTGTATGTATTTTAGCTCTGGTTTTGTTTTAATTATGTGTTTTTGTTGGTTTTAATGATTTTTAAGATGTGATGTTATGATGTACATTTTAATTTGTTGGCCACCTTGGTGGCCATTGTAAGGATAGAAAGGCGGGGTATAAATTTTATAAAAATAAAACACATAAAAATTCAGCCTCTGTTAAAGGGATAAAGCATTCCCCCCCCCAGACCTGTCTGCAATCCTAATATAGATATGGCCTAGTGAAATCTTAACTCTGTCCCCCCCCCCCCCCCCCCATACAATTCTCCAGAGTTCCTTGGAAAGACAAAAAAAGAGCCTTGGGACCTGCAGTGGAAATGCAGAAGATTGGCTCAACGAGTTAAGTGGTGTGACACAATTCTCCTCTCTGCCTAACCCACCTTTCCTTTTCCATGAACAGCTATGTGCTTGTTTCCCCAGCCTTTGTATCTGAATGTATTTGCCTTTAATAAGGACATGCAACAGAAGCAATTGCAGAGACTCATCGGCCAAGTCTGGAAGGGCCTGGGATGTGTTATACCTCCCAAAGTTAGTTATGGCTGATTAGGAACCAGTGCAAGACCCCCTCCTGTTGCATATAAGCCAAGACAGCCTCAGTCAGAGGGAAACAAGCCCTGCCAGAGAAGCTTTGCTGATTTCCCTGTAATCCTTATATGCTGCTGTAAGCATTATTTTTCTATATTAGTACTTACTGGCTGGTGTTTTGTTAATAAAATCCCTTTTCCCTAAAAAGATACCATTTCTATTCATTCTCCAAACCCAAAAGAACCTCTGCCATTTGTTGGGGGGGGGGGAGAACCACCTCTGGCAACAGGCGCACTTAGAGATAACAGATTTATCTTTAAGGTGCCACAAGACTCCTTTTTGTATTTTGATGCCACAGACTAAACACAACAGCCTCTTCCCCCCACAATTTATAGCCAGAATTTCTTGAGAAGCCCTCACAAGCTAACCACATCAAACTGGTTTACATTTGCTATGATTTCATCTATCTGTCAGACTCAGAACCCTTAAAAGAATGGACTCCCCCTCACCAATGGAGAGGAGTGTCTTGTAGCTCTCCTGCATGATATCATGGTAGAGGCTTCCTTGATCTGAGGTCAGGAGAGCCTGTTGCCCCTTAGCAGAGGCAGCGATCACCTCCTGGTAGGCTTCCAGGACCTGAAAGGAGGAAAACAAAACCTTAGCAGTTCACTCACAAGTGCCCGAGGCCTAGAAAGTTGAATGCAGGAATTCTGCCTCCCCCAGCCTTTCAACACAACTTCACCTGGAGGAGGGGAGAAAGCAACTGATTTACCTGAGCAGACTCGGTTTTGGCCATTTGGGCTGATCTCACATGGATTTGCTCTGGAAAGTGAGAAGAACCAGTGCAAAAATTCAGATTTTTTTTAAAAAGTAAAACTTATATAGACACAAGATCTAGTCTCTACCCTCTTGGAACGGTGATCGTGGCCATGACACATGGACCAGCTCATTCCCTTTTCTGATCTATACTTGAACTATATAAAGAAAAGGCATTTCCTTTGAGGGATTCCCCCCTCCCTTCAAATCCCTCTTCCAACCCTCCCCTCTTCCGTAAAGTCCTTGACTTAACCCCTTAGTCCTCATCTCCAACTGAAACAAAGCACATACTGGCTCCCTTCCGTTTAGTTGCTTCCCCCACATTCTAAATTTAGACGGCAAACTACTTGGGGCAGGGGACTGTGTTTTGCTTACACAGCTCTATAAAATGCCACGTATGTTGGTTGTGTATAATTAAACAAGAAAAGCAAAAGCTACCACCTCCCAATAAACTATAGAGCAAATTGTGGAAACCCCCACCCCAGTATCTTTTCTGTCTCGGGCAAAGATTTGAAATCTGAATTAAGGATCCAGCAGGAAGACTAGAAAGAGTACTGCCGAGCATGTGCAAAGTGCCTCCCGCCTCGCTTATGCAACCAACCGGCGCTCAGCCCACAAGGCCATTTCCAAAAGGGAGACCCTGGACTCTCCACCCAGACTTGTTTAAATCCCAAGTTGAATTCCAAGAGAAGCCCACACACTTAGGGGTTGCAGGGGACGTTCAAATAGGCTTGGGCGCCTCGATGTCTCTCATTCTGTGAATTACACAGTGCTTGAACACACACCCACACACACACACACACACCATACCTCATGTTAGAAATTAACGACTGATTGCAGAAAAAGTTGCAGTGTTCTGGGCTGCTCAGGAATTGCTCGTCTCGACGTCTCCTGTTCACTTTGCAAAAGCTCTTTATATTTACACCATATCCCTCCTCCTCCCCTTTGATGGATCTTTTCCCCTGGTCTCATTCCAGGGGTTTCCGCCGCCCCCCTCCCTTC